CACACACACACACACACACACACACACACACACACACACACACCCAACCACCCACACATACACACACACACACACATGCACACGTTTTCTCTCAGCACCAAGGAATTCTCCAATCCCGTCTCCTCCTCCGCCGGCTACGAGCTTTTTCCACACTGTTGTCTTTGCCCTCGTGCTCACTACATTTCATGTAGCCAGAATCTTTGAAACCCCTCCCCTGTCTTCACTTCCCTTCTTATCCCAGTGGACTGTACCGCCCAGATCTGCGTTATGGTCTTCCCTTTCTTCATCCCCAGTGTTCTGATTCCAACGACTCATATCACCATTATCCCCATCCTGCAGCAGTTACTGTTCCTCAGAATTGGTTATTAACTTGTTACAAGTTTGGGTACAGTGGGTAGTGGGACTAGTGGCTAACTCATCTCAGGCGCCTTAGGGTGAAGAGGTCCCATTTTTGCTGTTAGCCCCAGAAAGTTTCTGAACTGTGAGGAGTTTCCTCAAGATTTATCCTTTGGAAGGGACGCTGGACCCGGTTTCCAGCAGGTGCAGCTCCCCACCAATAGAAAGGAGCCATCGGAACCTCGCGGGCTTCTACCCTCTGGGGCTCTTACCACCCAAGGGGTAGAAGACCTTGCCCTGAACGATGATTGAATTGACAAAAAAAAATGAAAAAAAGGCCATGACTCGTGTACCGTGCCCCTGCTGGGCCTTGCCGTCAGGCGAGCGCGGTGCACCGGCGGCAAATCCCTGGTGCTATGTCCGTCCAGAGGCAACGGGCCCAGTGCCCAAGGCTTGTATTACTCAATGAATAAATTCGAGGCCCGGGTCGTGCTTTCTGAGCGCGGTGCACCGGCGGCATGTCCCTGGTGCTATGTCCGTCCAGAGGAACCATAGAAAGTAGACCATCCCTGTCTGTATCGACGCATCACAAACACCCCACCTTGGCAAGCCTGATCTGATTGCTGTGAGGAACCATCTAGTCGAACCAGTACGGGTTTGGGACGTTTCTTGCTGGCGTGATTCTTGTTAGAGTGATGGTTTCTTGCTACCGTAGCGTGCGTGATCTGCCGCAGTGCCGCCGCCATTCCAGTGCCGCCGCCATTCCACGTTGTCTCCGGAAGGGGACCGAAAAGTGCGCGCCCAAAAGGAGAGGTAAACATGCGCAGGTATCCCGAGGGCGGGGTGCAAGAGGTACGTGCACTCTAGAGGAAATCGAGGGCAGATCTTGCCGCCTACGACGTCGACCGCGGGGAGTTCTCTCCGACGTTGACGTGGCACGCTGCGAATGAGTCTGCTACTTGACGGGTTACCTACTGCCCGTGGCGGTTATGGTCGCGTTTGCGACCGGTCGTACATCTCACGGTCTTGCTCAGAGTCTCTTGCGGTCGTCGACAATGAACAGTGGGGTCGATGAACGGAGACGGCGGGAAATGGTGCATACTTGTGTGGCGCGTTTGAGCGCTCCCGGTCTCTTCACACTATGACAGTATAAATAGCACTTACTGTATTATTGTATATAGACATGCAATGTGTGCTTGCGAAGTTGGTAAGCAACCTTGCGGCGTGTTGATCCCAAGATTCCCCTGATCGAGCATCTGTCCGTGAATGTGGCAATGTACATCCGCGATACGCGTTGGGTGTGAATGGTCAGAAACCGTGAGTAGATCGACGAGTTACGTTGCTGGAATGCGTTGATGACCAAGCTTTGCTGGAGACAGAAACGCAGAAACGATTTACTGTTTCCTTAATTCATACAAAATTATAGCTATCCTATCGATTGATTGATTGGCTCGGCGGTTCGATGTCTGGCTGGAAGCCAACAGTCGCGGCGGCGGAATTGCTTTCTCATCTGCCCCGGTCACCCACACTTGCGCTCCTGAGCTCCCCTGGGTGCAGTAGGGGGGGCGACGCGAAGCTCCGCGGGCAGGCAGGTCACCCTCCAGGTGCTCGGCGCAGATATGGAGTTCACTGCTCGATCTGCATCCGTGGGCCGCGGAGGATGGCAGCGGGCTCGCTGTCCAGCCGTTGGTGGTCGTTTCGGTCTAGGTCTCGGTCAGACGTGGCGGCGCAGTACTTGGGGCTGGAGGGAGGCAGGATAACATGTAATCCGAGGCGGCGCTTACTGTACGACGCGACGACATCCAGGGGATCATCAAGACAGGTATTCTGGGAGAATGCGGGCGGAAGTAGCTTCCCGAATCTGCCACGTGGTGGAGAGATCGGGGTCAAGGCGTCATCAACGGCAGCAACGGCGCTGACGATGGCGGCGGCGGCGGAGGAGGAGGAGGAGGAGGAGGCAAAGGACGGCTGTTCACGAGCGCCACGGTGGAGGGACGTGGCAAGTGGAGGGAGGGTCCGCGGTGGAAGAAGGGAATCTGAGAGTTGCGCGGGAATCTGGAGGAAGGGGGTGAGCCAAACTGTGACCGGGCGATCGTGGTCTTGGGCCCCATTTCCCGGCCTCTTGATGTTCCGTTCGTCATCGTCGTCGTCGTCGTCGTGTTCATCTACTCCGTCGAAGTGGCGTTGCCACGCTGGTGGTGGAGTATGCGGAAACGAGGTTCGACTTAATCCTGTCCTGAAGGTAAATGCTAGTGGGATGTCAAATCAAGGGCAGCAGTCGGCGGGGCGCCGATTTCGGCGCTCCCCCTTGCGACGGCCGCCTGTGGCGGGCCGCGAGGCGGAAAGCCGGCGTCGTCGCACAGTCGTTGCAATGACGGCGGATATGAGCATGCCAGGTGTGGTCGGGATGACTTTGACCGTGGGTGAAGGGCTTATGCGGCACACCAAGAAGACCGAGAAGGAGATGAGCGCTAAAGTCTATCAGTGTGTGATGGCGCTTTGTGCGGCAGAGCAGCTGGGCGACGGTGTTGAAAAGGTATTGGATGCATGGGCGGATGAACTGGCCATGGCGGACGTGATGAATGTGCTTAAAGAGCTCGTCAACAGATCTCGCAATGCGGAGAAGTTGATGATGGTCTTCGATTGGCTGCGTGGTTCTGGCGCTTCGGTCGGCCTTGAGCCGAACGTTCGCACGTATACCTTTATGATTCGAGCCATGGGAAGGTTCAAGAGGTACGAGACGGCTGCGCAGCTCTTCCGCGACATGCGATTTGCGGGAGTGGAACCCGATTCATTCGCTTATAACGCAATGATTGGAGGGTACGCCAGAAACAACGAATGGAAGAAGGTGTTTGGGCTCTATGAGGAGATGTTTCGAGGGGGAGTGTTCCCCGATCAGGTGACGTACGTGGAATTAGTGAGCGGACTGTGCAAGGCGGGAATGCTGAAGGAGGCGAAGCAAGTGCTGCTCGCAATGAAGCAGCAAGGAGTGCGGGGGAACTTGCCAATTTACAAGGCGGCAATATTTGCGGCCGTCAAAGAAAAAGATCTGGACGCTGCGATTGCCTTGCATCAACGGATGGAGAGCGAAGGAGTGGAGCCAGATGAATCGCTCAGCAATCTTCTGATTACAGCCTACGGCAAGAAGGGGATGTGCGAATATGCCGAGAGAGTCTTCCAGGTACACACATTTCGTCTAATTTCGTGTCTTTGTCCTCTTTGGGAAAGAAAGTAGGGATCTGTATTCTGTAACTTTTCCCGAATATATTCGTTCATTGATGGTAAGGAAAGGAAAGGAAAAGAAATTCCGAAAAATTGTACCTGTCATCGCACGAGGACCGCCCGTTTGGAAGGGGGCTTAAGTATTGTTCCCCGGCGGAGCAGTTTGTGACAGCCCCCCGTTTCTTGTCCGTTTCTCCTTTTTTTTTTGCCCTCTGTTCACCGTGCAGGTCTCTGTGACAATATATATAGGGGATGGAAACGGTTCATCATATATATGGCAGTGGGTCTCGCTGCTGCACTGCTTGCCAAATTTGAAGATGGGAGAGTGTATCTTCCCGTCCGAATCGGCCTGATTCACCCGCCGTTTTTTTCACATTTGCTAGCACATTTGGAGAATGGTGCAACGAGGCTCCGTTTCTGCATACATACATACATACATACATACATACATACATACATACAATCACGCATGCAGACACACATACATACATATCGATGACGATATATACATACACATACAAATACATGAATACATACATTAAATACAGAAGACATGTATGAGGGGCGCTGGACCCGGTTTCCAGCAGGTGCAGCTCCCAACCAATAGATGTATTAAAAACTCAGAGAGTGAAATAGATTCTAGCAGGAGGGGATGCTCTTATAACCCTTCCTACCAGGTCCTGTAGAGTCTTTAATTACAAAAAAAAGTACTCACATTACATACATACATACATACATACATACATACATACAAAGTTCGGATGGAAACGCACTCTCCCCGTCAAGTGGGGATCCTGGGAAGAATGTAGACGCGGTGGGAGAGGATGCTTGCTGCTCGCGGGAACAGATCCGGCCTAGGTTTGTTATCTGTTGAGTTTTAGTGATTATGTTACGGCAAGTATTACCTTGAAGGTAATCCCCGTCAAGAGTGCATTAGACTTTTGCGAGGGAAGGGCTGTGGGTGAGGACGACAGCGAACGAATGCTATTAGTATGATGATGATGTATTAGGGAGGGGCGTAAGGATTATTATTATTATTATTATATATTATTATTGTAAGGAAGAAGATTGAAAATGAATTAAGTTTTTCTTGTTTTCCTTGTTTTCCTTGTTTTCTTTCGTTTTTCGCTTCGGCGCTCTGATATCATGTGACAATATATTAGCGAAAAACGAAAGAAAACAAGGAAAACAAGGAAAACTGAATTCGTTTTTAATCTTCTTCCTTACAACTCCCCCGTTCAGAACCTCTTGCGTACAAGGCCGCCCACGTGGATGTAGGTTGCGCGGCGGCTGCCCCCACCCCCGTGTGTCATATCGACCCACTTGCACACAGCCAAAAGGCAAAGAGGCAAAGAAAAGAGGAAGGGAACAGCCAAATAAAACAGAACAGGGGGCAACAAAACAGATCCCAGATGACAAGTCCCACATGCAAGCATATTATGGGGTCAATGCAGTGCGCGACGGAGGGCGATAATGAGTATACTAGCATCTGTTGCACGCATTCGCTGTTCAATAAGATCGTTTCATTTCACCTGCCGTATCGGGACGGAGGCGAGAAAAAACACACAAGAAATATTATTCCCTGTACTCATGACGACACGTAAACAGTAAGGAAAGCAAATTCAATGCACGTACAAGGATGTAGCAAGCTGAAGAAGACCAGAAACAAGGACATGTGGAAGAGAGATGGATAGCGGACTGATTTGGTATACCGGAAGAAAAAGGGAATCGGTGCCCACAAAGAAGACAAGGAGAACAGCATGGGAATGTGTGGCAGCAGTAGGTAGGTGTTTGAGCAGCCTTCCTGCCAAATTGGGCAGAAACAAAACGCATGAATGACAACCAAACACAGGAGAAGCTTCGACGAAGGTCATTGGGGCGGCTGGCAGGGAGACTATCACAGAGAAATGCCACCGACGATTAGCCGTTGGGAGAAAAAAGAGGAGAAGACGCAAAGCGCGGGCATTGCTTGGGCATCGGACAGACTGTTTCAGCGGACTTTCACTGACTCATCATCAGGAGGCTGAACCCTGCATTGACAGTCTGCAGAATATTCCTATAACCGATGCTACCAGTGTCAGTCTGCCTTAACCCCAGCTGCAGTTGGGCGCCAACCATGGCCCCGTAACTGATACCCCCCGAAGGTAGGTTGGATCTATTTCATTACAGTGATTCATTCTTTTTCCATCTCAATTCAGACAAGCAGGGGTTACAGTGATTCATTCTTTTTCCATCTAAATTCAGACAAGCAGGGCAAATCGATTCCGACCAAACAACGTTGCCTCCCCAGCCGATGTGGTTGAGTGGTACACAAGTAGCTGTTAATTGAAAAACAGGTCATGAGCTTGAACCCTGCTCACAGATCGGAGGACGAATACCCCAAAATTTTGGGGGGGGCTTTACAGAGGAAAAATATCATCTGTGTGACATCGGGACAAATTCATGAAACCTGTTGCGGCTTCGCCCGCAAAAACACAAGTGAAGGGGAAAAAGAAAAACAGCTTCCCATCCGTGCTGCCTGCCTCTCTCTCTCTCTCCATCTTGGCAAAGATGCGTCGAGTCCGGCAAAGACGGGTGGAATCGGGAGGAGGAAGGGCAGAAATGGGCAGCGGCAAAGTCAAGCGCGTCAGGATGGCAGATTTCTCTCTCTCCCCCTCCCCCCCCTCTCGCTCTCTCTCAACTTGGCGAAGATGGGTCGGGTCCGGCAAAGACGCAGCGGCCACGGCAAAGTCGAACGCATCAGGACGGCAGCTTTCTCTCTCTCCCTTCCTCCCCCCATGTGTGTGTGTGTGTGTGTGTGTGTGTGTGCCGAGTTGGGGGAAGATGGGTCTAGTCGGGCATAGATGTGCCGCGCCAGGAGGGAGGACGGAAATGGGCGGAGGCGGCGGAAGTTGAGCGCGGCAGTGTGGA